AATAATTTTTTATTTGACAGTTTACAACTTTTGAATTTCTTTAGGTCAATCAATGTAAATCTAGGATAATCTAGTTGTTATCATAAGATTCTTCACAAAGTTGAACAATTATTTATTTATTTTACATGCGTATCCGCTTGCAAATCTGCCATGTTCTCAATGGAAGATTTCTCGATTTCCTTGCTTGACCATTAGTGTCCAATTTTCACACACCAATTGTAAAAATCTTAAATATGTAACAAGAAGTATCATTTTTACTATTGACGCTTGAGTCTCTCAGTTAGATTTTCTGCATACATAAGAACTCGAACTCAATATCATGCTTAAACGATATTAAATTATTTACCACTTGAATCAACCCCTATTGATTCAATTAAAATAATAATAATAGAGTAATATGCTAGAATACATCAACACCCATATAAACCATCTAGAATTTTTTTTCTAGATAAGTAACTACCTTGATTATTATGTTAAGAATCAATTTCTCTTTTATCAACGATGATATGCTATTGAGTAGCTATGGATTCTTCAAGGCTTTAATTATGAAATAAAATCAAAGATTTCTTTTATTTTTATTTCCCTTTTCCACATAATGAAATAAAGTCAAAGATTGAATTAGGATTTAGATAAGGTTAATGATAAGCGAAGATTGGGTTGAAAAGTGTTAGAGTGTGACTCGAATTTAAAGTGTCACAAATTAATTAATATATAAATATTAGAAAAAGTAGGAAACTCAGTTTGATTAAAAGTATAAAATTTTATTAAAGTAGATTTATACTTTAGTTAGCTTTCCTTTGTAATCAAGTATATATTCCTATAAATAGATATTAAAGGTCAGAATTAGAAATCAATTTTTTTTTTCATCAAAATCCTCATATATTTTCTTACTACATATTAGTAAAATTATCCTCCTGTGCCTATGGTTTTTTCCTTTTGGATTTTCCACGTAAATCTTGATGTTCTTTGTTTTTCCTTTTCGATCGTGTTTATTTGTTTACCGATAATCATTGTTCCTATATTATAACAAATTGATATAAGAGCTTTGGGTTTAAGATTATGGCAACAATGAAGTATGATATTCCGTTGTTGGATCGAAACACTAGGTTCTCGCTGTGGCAGGTGAAGATTTAGGATGCCCTTGCACAGTTAGATCTCGACGATGTAATATAAGAATTTGATGAGAAGCCGGTAACATAATGGACGAATAAGGAAAAACGTAAGGATCGTAAAGCTCTTTCTCAGGTTCGTTTACACTTATCAAATCAAATTTTACAGGATGTGTTGAAAGAAAAAAACAATTGCATCATTGTGGGCGAAATTGGAGCAACTTTGCATGTAGAAATCATTGACAAGCAAGTTGCACCTAAAGCAGCGTTTTAAATCGCTCAAGTTGGTGGAAGGTTTGTCTCTTGAAGAACACATGACCGCATTCAAGGAAACCGTCTCTGATCTAGAGACTTTAGAAGTGAAGTATGATCAAGAAGACTTAGGACTAATCCTCCTATGTTTGCTACCTCCTTCCAACTCATCTTTCAGATATACAATCTTGTACAGTCACGAAACACCCATTCTTGAAGGAGTTTACAATGGCTTGCACTCATTTGACAAAATGAAACATCTTGTATCTGATTCTGAGTCTCAGGATGATTGTCTCGTGATACATGAATCGACTAGCTCAGACAGTGGGAGAAAAGACGAGCATTCTTCTGATAATATTGGAAGGGGTAGATCAAAATATTCCAACCAATGTAAAACTTGTCACTATTGTAAAAAGAAAAGGCATGTTAAATCGGAGTTTTACAAGTTGCAAAATAAAATCAAAAGAGAAGCTGAAGAGCATAACTCTGGGAAATATGGTGAGGGCAGTATAGTAGAGGAGTACGATGACGGAGAACTCCTAGTTGCAGCTGACGACAACTTTATAACAAGTGATGAGTGGATACATGAACTACTACCTTATGAGTCTTAATCGTGATTGGTTTGCGACGTATGAAGTTTTATCTACATGTGATGTATTTTTGGGAAATAATGTCCCTCGTAAAGTCGCAGGTATTGGCACAATCAAGATTAAGATGTGCGATGAGATTGTTCGAACACTTGGTAATGTGAGACATGTTCCAGATTTGAGTAGAAATCTAATTTCGTTAGGTATTCTAGATTCAAAAGGGTACAAATTCTCCAGTGAAGGTGGAGCTATGAAAATCTACAAGGACTCTCTTGTTGTGTTGAAAGGGCATAGAAATACTACCAAGTTTTATGTTCTACAGGGTTTAACAGTTTTAGATAATGCAGTTGGTGTTTCATCCACCTTGTCAAATAACGTTGTTGGACAAAATAACCATGGGCAGAACGGTTATGTGAAGCAAAAAAGAGTTCAATTTCGTGAACATAATGAATTTGAAGATAAAATTATCATTGATGATCGGGGTCGTGTTGTGCATGATATTGCTTGTGGTGAAACATTTGTGAGCAAAGTTGGCACTTATGATAACCATGTCGGTGTGAAGACTAAATCCAAGCCTAGAAAAAGCTTTGATTCGGTCGGTGTCCATTACTGAAGATTACCCCCTTGAGGAGTGTTGTAGAAGAGGTAGAAAACTTGTTCGTTGAAGTGAAGAATTGTTTTTGTTGAGTTCGGGTGTCACATCGAATTGGGTGTTTTGTCTCGAAACCTTTGCACCTTCAGATTCGTGTCAAAGTGGAGATTTGTTAGAATTTGACTCGAATTCAAAGTGACACAAATTAATTAATATATAAATATTGAGAAAGTAGGAAACTTAGTTTAATTAAAAGTAGAAAATTTATTAGAGTAGATTTCTACTTTATTTAGTTTTCCTTTGTAATAGATTTTTACTTTATTTAGTTTTACTTTGTAATCAAGTATATATCCCTATAAATAGATACTAAGGGTCAATGTTAGAAATCAAGTTCTTTTCTTTCGCCAAAATCCTCTTGTATTTTCTTCCTTCATATTAGTAAAATTCTTCTCATCTGCCTGTGATTTTTCCCTTTTGGGTTTTCCACGTAAATTCTGGTATTCTTTGTTTTTCCTTTTCGATCGTATTTATTTGTTTGTCGATAATCATCGTTCTTATATTATAATAAAAAGGGATTTGGTATCAAATAATTAAGTTTTAATAAAGATGGGATGTGCATAATGTAATGAAAATTGTGGAATCTAAACATGGAATTAGAGAGTGGGGCACATAGTCCCAGCATGTCGTGGGTGTATTAAGACAGGATCAGGGTTTGAGTGGGTGTGTCAACCAAAGCATATCCTCAACCTCAAAGCCACATTTCATTTGCTCCAATTTAAGACTAACCAAGTTTTAAGAACAACCCCAACCACCCTTTCTTCCACCTTTGTCCTCCAAAATTACTATCTTAACAATAAGCATGTGGGACTATACATGAACATTGAACAAATTCAATTTCTCCTTCAAAAACGATTGACTAATGAACAACCAAACAAAACATGAAAAGAAACAGTGGGGGAATGCAAAAGCTTTTCCGACAGACCACGCTGAAATGCTTTGAAACTTTGGTAATGAGAGACGATATACACTTCACCTTTTCATCTCTTTAACGCCTTGTTTTCTATCAACCCCTTTCTCACTTACATCTTTGTTTATGGCAGGCAACCTTCTAAAACCACCATCATCACCGCAACGAATAACTATAAAACAAAAACCCAACATCACTTTATGTTTCGGCTTCAACTACATGTATATACATATACTATACACACCTTTAAGCATTGATTTCAATACATTATATTTTGTAATATCATACCTTATAACTTAAGGAGGCTTTTAGTTCACGTAATATAAGATTTTATCCGTCACTATAGAACAAGTGGTTAAAAACTCTTAGTTAATTTCTCTCATCTCCCCTAAGTTGTGGGCTCAATAGCCATTAGGATCAGATTCTCCATCCCTGTCCTCCTAGATAGAAATAGTTTAAACAATATAAATATAAGGTTTTATCTTTGGAATGTTTGATATATTATTGTGAATGATACATTGTTATATTTTTATAAGTTGTTAGCTTCTTGTAAATATTAGATATAGGTTTGATTTGCTAAAATGTTTCTTTTGATCTATTCAAAAAATTATTTCTTTTGAAAATAAAATTTGTTAAAATATTAAAGTCTTAATGAACCAATGATTTTAATTACTAATTCATAGGTCAATGAACATGATTTACAAACTTGAATTTAAATTTATTTTAAATGAGCATTAGGTCAAAGAATTAAAATTTAAATTAAATAGAGCAAAGAATATTTGGTTGTTGGTTAAGCATATTTCTTTAGATTATAGGTTCTATATCCATTATGAGTATTTTCCTTCTTTTCTTAGAGTCTATTTCTTCTCCCTCTAAATAAGATTAGAATTAGATTTAGAATTTGTCAAAAACTGAATTATACAATAACTTTTTTATTATAAAGTTATCATCACTTCCTTGTCAAAAGCAATAAATAAAAAAGACAACAATGAAAGAATAAGATTTATACGGGCAAAAATATATTATTTAAAAATAATAATAATATAATCCAAAATTAAAGAAATTATTCATTATTTAAGGAATAGGTGAGAATATCATTCTCCCCATCTTAGAAAAATCACACTATTGGTAATACATTCTCACCTAAGGGAATTCTTGCAAATTAAGTGGGAATAATTTTAAAAGAAATAAAAATATTCCAAAAATTTACGGTATAGACAAATTCTTCCGAAAAGTTAAAAAATAAAATAAAAGAAATTCACGTTGACCATTAGAATTCCAATGGCGGCCCCTATGCCTTGGGCCTTGCCTGCTTAATTTCTCTCTCTTATTTCTCCCATTTTCCTGGTAGTAATAAATGGGGCAGCAAGTAAAGAAGCCAAAGTCCAAAGAAGATCGGAAGCAAAAATGAAAAAGACTACTCCTGACCAAGGAAGAAAGAGTATGCGCAAAGAGAGCAGAAACCCAAACTAAAGCTTCTTCTCTTTCTTTTGTTTGTTTCTTGTTCTTATGGAGGTGTTTTGGCAGTGGTTGAAGCTGGTTATCATGTGTTCCATAGTGTTAGTTTTGGTATTGAAAATGGTGGTGCAGTTTTGGTGGAGACCTAGGAAGATTGAACACCATTTCTCACGGCAAGGGATCAGAGGACCCCCTTACCGTTTCTTCATTGGAAACGTCAAAGAGCTTGCGGGAATGATGTTAAAGGCTTCTTCCCAACCCATGCCTTTCTCTCACAACATTCTCCCCAGAGTTCTCTCTTTCTATCATCATTGGAACAAGACTTATGGTACGTTTTTTTTTCAAGCTTATTTTCATTGTATATTTTGCCATTTCCCATACACACTATGCACACCACAGTTTTGAATTGTCTTCTCTCACTTTTCTCTCTACTCTCTTCTCTCCGCAGTTGTAGGGTCTACAGTACTATCCATGCTGCTTCATTTGTATTAATGGCTGCCACTTCTTTACTGCTCATTTTTCCTCTTTTGCAAACCTGAAACTTACTACTTGAGTCTCCCTGCCACTCCCTTCTTAGTGTAAAAACTTACTGTTTTCATATTTTTTACCGTCTAATTCTTTTGTTTAATTTCAAATCCAGGGGCAACGTTTCTGGTTTGGTTTGGTCCTACGGTTCGGCTAACGGTGTCGGAGCCAGATCTCGTAAAGGAAATCTTCACATCCAAGTCTGAATTATATGAAAAGAATGAAGCTCACCCTCTGATTAAACAGCTTGAAGGTGATGGCCTCCTAAGTCTCAAAGGTGAAAAATGGGCTCGTCATAGAAAAATCATAACCCCCACCTTCCATACAGAGAATCTCAAAGTGAGTAAATCATCTAATACAATACAGCTGACAGCCATCCTAAAAGAATGTAAGATTATATATTAAATTCTGACTTAAATTATATAGTTGCTGGTGCCGGTGGTGGCACAAAGTGTGAGTGATATGGTGGAGAAATGGTCGGCAATGTCAAGCGGTTGCGGAGAGGTTGAAATCGAAGTTTTCGAGTGGTTTCAGAGCCTTACGGAAGATGTCATTATTCGTACCGCCTTCGGAAGCTGCTATGAAGATGGCAAAGCCATTTTCCGATTACAAGCTCAACAAATGGTGCTTGCTGCCCAGGCTTTTCAAACGGTTTTCGTCCCTGGATATAGGTATTTAACCAATTCATGATTCCTTATAAACTAAAAGGGATTAGTTTGTTTATCTGAATTTCAGGTTTTTGCCGACCAAGAGGAACATAAGTTGTTGGAAATTGGACAGGAACATTAAGAAGTCGTTGATGAAGCTAATCGAGCGGCGCAGGGGCAGCTCGAAGAACATAGTGCAAGAGAATGGGTCCAAGGATCTGCTAGGATTGATGATACAAGCCTCCAATTCAACTCCAAATATCACTGTCCACGACATAATCCAAGAATGCAAGAGCTTTCTCTTTGCCGGCAAGCAGACCACTTCCAACATGCTCACGTGGACCACTATTCTTCTAGCAATGCACCCACAGTGGCAGGTCCAAGCACGTGAGGAGGTGCTAAGGGTTTGTGGGTCACGTAACGTACCCACCAGTGATGATGTTGTTAAGCTTAAGACGGTAAAAATTCAAGTCCAAGGCAAAACATCATGTCTTATCTCAGATATAACTATGAAACCCCGTACACATCTGATATTGAGTTCACATGTGGTTTTGGCAGCTAAGTATGATCTTAAACGAATCCCTGCGGTTGTACCCGCCGACAATAGCCACGATCAGACGGGCCAAAGCTGATGCGGAGCTAGGGGGTTACATCATTCCTCGAGGGACGGAGCTCTTGATACCGATATTGGCCCTTCATCACGATCAAGCCATATGGGGCAGTGATGCTAACGAGTTCTTCCCACCTCGGTTCTCCGAAGGCGTGGCTCGTGCAGCCAAAGATCCAGTCGGCTTCATCCCATTCGGCCTCGGTGTCCGAACGTGCATCGGCCAAAACCTTGCCATTATGCAAGCCAAATTAGCCCTTTCTATAATACTTCAACGCTTCTCCTTCAGATTGGCCCCAAGTTATCGACATGCACCCACTGTTCTGATGCTACTTTACCCACAATATGGAGCACCAATCATCTTTCAACCTCTATCACGTAAAAGATGAAGGTGTTGCCTTCAAAGTTTAAAGCATGAGATCAAAGGGAGTGAGAGAAACAAAAGGGTGTTGCCAATTCTTTCTGGCTTTTAATTTGCTACAACTAAACTCTCGTTTTAGGCAAATGGGTAGACATGGATATATAGCTAGGTTTCTTTGTAGCCTTTTGTCTCACCCATTTGTATGTAATCTATACTTGTAACACAGTTTTGTAATAATATTATGTAAGATGCTTACTTTTTCTTTATGTCATGATAGATTATTTAAAATTTTGTAAAATAATTAAGTGTTTTTATTATGTTAATATTCAGTTACTAAATATGACATCAATAATCATGATCTAAATCAAGTATTATGATGTACAAGCACATTGAACATTGAAATATACTTGCATTGATCAAATCGAATCATATGCAACTCTTTTCAATTTTTTCCATCAATTCATCGATTCTTTTGTTCTTCTGTCAATATTTATACTTCAAATATTTTTTTAACAACATTAAAAATATATTATATAATTTTAGAGGATATTTAATTTATTAAATAATATTGCAAATGTGACTTACACATGAAAAAGAAACGAGAAAAATATATAAGAATGTAGTATATGGTTAGAGAAGTAGTTTAAATTCAGATCAATTAGTATGATAACATTATAAATATTTATATTTGAATTTGAATTTGAATAGAAACTCGAATAAATATATTTGATTTAACTCAAATCTAATAATTTTTAAATAAAACTTAAATGATAAAATGATACTCATAAAATCAACTAAATTAATTTTTTTTCGTGTAACATGATTCGACTCAAGAGTCACCTCTAACCCAAACATTCTTTTTAAGGGAGAGAGAACTTGCATGGGGAATGGTGTGACTCGAAGACCTAGTTTCCTTGAAATTATGCATTTATGCTAGGGTGGAAGGGGTAATCCAGTTAGCTGAAAAAACAAGGAGAATAGCAGTGCCCCCAAGATTATCTAGGTAATTGAGAATTCGCTGGTCCCGAAGAAGCATGTGGCTGGGGTAGATTTCCTCTCTTCTACTTTGTTGGTTTTTTAGCTTTTGTTGAAGGAATCAAAGCATGTGATACTTTCTATGAATACATGCTAAGCCTTAGTTTTCATTTGTTTATTCACCTCTCTCCTTTTATACATAACATAGCACACACACTCCTACACCAATGTCAAATTGCAGCATGCTTATTTGTCCTTATCACCATGCTAATTATCTTGATTATCGGGATGATTATCATTTATATCCATGTAAACAGTAGTGAAGCTACACTACCAAAAGAAAATGATGCAAATAACAAGTACTTAAGAAAATAGAAGATAAAAACAAGCAATTCATTATGCGCTTTAAGACATCATTCGAAGAAGATATTCTCGAGCATATCCAAGATGCATGTCAAAACCCTGGATGAAGCATCGAATATGCTTGCGAAGTTGTTCTTTGTTAAGAAGAACGATATGAAGCTTCAATTTGAAGAGTGAGTTATTGTCAGTGGCACAAGACAATATGATGATCTAACAATACTTCTATAAAGTGCAGTCCTTGTACCAATAGATTTTTGAGTTGGATTCAGAAACTCCTATTACTGTTACAAGGATGAAATGAGTCACCATCATGGTTTAAAGCTAGATTTCTAGAGTATTGTTACTACGGTTTTGAATGACAAATCAGCCATCACTTACTGAATTTTGAAAATTAGCTGGTCAATTAGCCTTAGTTGAACAAATTGGAGGAGCCCCATACAATAGAATTGACCAAATGATCACCATATTTCCTTGACTAATTCACATGTGCTTGGAAATTTCAGTACAAGTAGAGCAGCTGCCAATTCTATGGGAGCTGAATGTCAAACTATAGCAGCTTTCCTTTCAAGACTCCTGTTTACTAGTCATGTGCCTTGGCTTCTTACCTTATAATAGTTGAAGTCTTCATTATGACTTTGTATTTCACGATGTGTATGAAAGGCTTGAAGTATAATAGTATAAATGGGAAAATTCCACAGCATCTTGTCTCACAAGTTGTCGTAAAACTTGTCAAACTTTTGGTATATTTGTGTGATCCAAAAGACCTCTAAAATGTAGGGAAAGTGCCTGGTCAACGTTTGTGGATTACCTTATGGGGCCAAAGATCCCTTAAATGGATAGATTAATTCGGTGAACCTTGTCCCCTTCTAGTTAGGTAGCAGGGATGTGGGTCATGCAGGAAACCAGCCAGCTGCTTCTTGAATTGACATAGCCAAAGGATGAGTAATTTTAAAGTGTTCATAATTCATGTATTTAATGGTGAAAGGTCTGCATGAAAAATAATATTCAAACATGACAAATTACTTGTCTTGGGCAGTACGAACCAAAAACTTGACCATTTCTTTGTCGTCTCTTTTGATGAGGATATTAAATAATAAAATCCCCATGTTTCAACATTTGGCTGATCCAAACATAGAACAATTAGCTTTTAGTCTTTGGAATTATATTATTCTAATCAATTCTTACTTTCAGGGAAGTTAACATAGGTTTCTCTCTTCACAACACAAGGAACAAATGAGAGCTAGAAGAGCAAGAATCTCTTGTCTTGGCTTGCTTACTTTCTTGAAGACGGTGATGAAGTTGTAATGGAGGACAAGAAAGCAAATATAATAGCTGCAACAGTAATCACCGGCCTCATCGTTTTTATTATCGTTGCTCGAGTATCATTGAAACTTTCAAGGGCTTTCTTCCTCATTGTAGGGGCAGATATTGCAGTAATCCTTGCAGTACTTGTGTGTCTTGTGATTAGAGGGCGGTATCATCACAGAAGAAAACTGTTAGAGAAGAGGCTGGTATCCGAATGTCGAGAGCTTCGAATAGAGTACAGTTTTCTTCGAAAGGTAGCTGGAGTTCCAATCAAGTTTAGGCACAAGGAGCTTGAGGATGCAACAGATAATTTTCAGGCACTGCTAGGAAAAGGTTCATCTGCATCAGTATTCAAAGGTATCCTTGGTGATGGCACTTCGGTCGCTGTAAAGAGAATCGAAGGGGAGGAGCACGGGGAAAAGGAGTTTAGATCTGAAGTCGCGGCAATTGCAAGTGTGCAACATGTGAATCTTTTGCGTCTTATGGGGTATTGTTGTCTTCCTGGAGGGCCTAGGTTCCTTGTTTATGACTTCATCCCTAATGGTTCATTGGACAATTGGATCTTCCCTAGAAGGGAAAGGGAAACCAGAAATCACCCTGGAGGCTGTTTGGCATGGGACTTAAGGTACAGAGTCGCTATCGATGTGGCTAAGGCACTCTCATACCTACATCATGATTGTCGATCGAGGATATTACACCTTGACGTCAAACCAGAAAATATACTTCTTGATGAGGATTATAAAGCGATTGTGGCAGATTTTGGTCTTTCAAAGTTAATGGGAAAAGATGAGAGTAGGGTCATTACAACAATCAGAGGGACTAGAGGTTATTTAGCCCCGGAATGGCTCTTGGAGCGTGGAGTTTCAGAGAAATCTGACATCTACAGCTACGGAATGGTTCTTTTGGAGATGATCGGAGGTCAAAGAAATGTTAGTCTTATCGAAAATGGCACCGATAGGTCTCAGAGGAAATGGCAGCTCTTTCCTAAAATTGTGAGCAAAAAACTAAAAGAAGGAAAATTAATAGAAGCTGTTGATCAGAGGCTGGTTGAAGCAGGAGAGATTGATGATAGACAATTAAAAAGAATGGTTTATGTAGCTTTGTGGTGCATACAAGAGCGGGCGAAACTGAGGCCAAGCATGGCACAAGTGGTTGAGATGCTTGAAGGGCGTGTTATGGTAGATGAACCCCCTGACACTCAAATGGTTGTTGTTGATTTGTTATCCATAGATGAGGAGGATATTGACTATCATCACCGGCCAAAAATCGCTGTAATCGGATCGGATGTAGACTGCAACATTCCTACCTCAACTTCATCTTCTTTTTCAATGTCTGTACTATCCGGCCGGTAGCTCCCTCTTATATGATCATTGGTTGATTCAGCTAGAGGGTCCTATCTTTTTTTTATTATACTTATTGAAGCAGAATCCTTTATTCTGCCATTAATTCCTCAACCATTTTCTTTTTACTAATGTTGTTTAACCTAAGATAAGATGAGGCATTGACACTGCCGTCTGCCCTTGGTGAACTTCCCTTGGCAACTTTCTGGTTTTCACTTCAAACCCAGTTTTCTGCAGAAAATTGGATTTGATCTTCCGGAAGATCCTCTCTGAATAATGCCTTTAAAATAATATGTTTACTTGGTCAAGTTACCCTAAGCCAAGAAGAAAGAAACATAACAAAAGAATAGCTTTGAAAGGTCCATTAAAGAAAAACCAAGATAAAAGAACCTGCAAATTACTAGCTGCATCTAATTTTTATGCAACGAAATAGTACACTAGTACAAAGCATTAACAACAAACTATATTTAGATTTTTAGATTCTTCTGCTCAAATAAATAACCATGGGGGAAATGAAGACACCAAAAAATTGAAAATAATTACATCAAATGAAAGGCATGCATGCATTTTAAGCTCGGCAATTCTGCTCCCAATTTGGTTTAAGGCTGCCATAAAAACCCTTCTTCTAAGGCAACTTGCAACTCCCTTGGGCTTCTCTAATAAAAGCTATTTCTGAAATTCCATCTTTCGATGCGAGCAAGTGCTTCTCTTGATCTGTGTCATCAGTTTCAGGTGAAATGCGGGGGGTGGAAGTTGAGGCAGATTCAGTTCCATCTTCTGGAGGCAAACAGCCAAAAGAAAGCAAAAGAAAGTTCAATATTAGTATAGTATCACAAAGGGGTGTAAATGGCAAGTTCGATTTTTTGAAAACCAACCCAAGAGATGTAGCGAAGCATACCTATGTCGTGGTATTCAGGCAACTCCTTCACTTTAGTTACTTGAAGGCTTTCAGGAAGCAAACAGCTGCAAAATGAACCTACATTTTTGACAAATCATGAAATTAACAATTTCTTTTACGTGTTTTCCTTTTTCAAGAACAAGCCAGGTATTAAATAATATGGATGATGAGAAGTAGACTGAATGACAATCGATGTTTAGCCTCCTCCTAGTGATTGTTTTCCCTTGAATGGAGGGTTAAGAACCAGCATCAACTACCAAAAAAAAGTAGCCACAAGCATAGCCAATTCTTCAGGCTCTACCCAGAAAAAGATCTAAGCTCTCGCATGATGTAAGGAAGAGCAAGGAATTGATATCATCCAATGTCCCAGACAAAAATGTGTGCATATATAAAATATGTGTGCCTACAAAGAATGTGATAAACAATTGGACGGTCCAGCATACCTAGTCGAGCCATCCGGTTCACCCATCCAGGGATAGATTTGCCCGTCAATCTATGTGCCATATCATCTGTAAAGTGATTACAGTTCTTGGAGATGAGGTGGTAGGTATCTCCATGATATTCAGAAGCTACATCCTTGATAAATGTTCTGAATTCAGAGGAAGGCATGTTTATGCGTCCTAATGGGAAGGAACATCGATAGATAAAACCAGGGCAGCTTCTTGGCTCCACTTCAAAAACTCCACTAATTGGAAAATCATGGGCCCCAAACCCATACTCTTTCCCATGAACTGTTCATAAATATCAAGATAGATACTTCAGTTTCTTATATCAGAAAAGATTATCAACATACGAACTAAAATTCATGTCATGTTGCAAGAAAAAGGCCTAAATTGGGAAGAACGACTTTAACAATAAGCTGTTTTATTTCAAGCATGAGAATGTGCTGCATTTCAATCCCAACAAATAACAAGAAATGCCTAATCAAATATGTTATTACTCCACAAAACATATAAAACCCCGATGAACAGTAATTAAAAAAATAAGAAGAGAATATTTCAAAAACGAAAAATATAGGCTCTTGCCGTCATGCATTCCCAAGATTTAACATACAATTATTTTTCTTTTACCATCTTATCATGTCAAGAACGAAACATCTTTGCACTAAACTAATCTTCCTCCAGCTCATATACCAACAAAAGGTAAAGGAAAACCGGAATCCATTGTGTTATTACAAAGATTTAAGTAAGCTTCAAAGGAACTTTCAATGAAATTATTCTATTCCCACTTCCTCCTATGAAAAAAATTATTTCATAAAATAAAACCCTAAGCTACATATTATAGATGATCACATAAAATCAATTAAAAATAATTCAGCAGACCCGTATCTGTTTTCTATTAGAAGAAACCAAATTCTTCACGCTGAAGCAATAGGGAGCTACATTAACCAATACCCACAATCTATAAAAATTTCGATTAAAGAAAATCCATAAAAATAAAAACTAAAAACAAAATGAAAGGGTTAAGAAGAGGGACAAACCTTCAATACCGGAGTGGTAAATCCCGAAACCAAACCAATAAGTGTAATTATTGTAAGGAGTGAGATCATACACATTCAAAATCACATCGCTTTCATTGTGGTTTCTCGCAATTTGATTCCCAGAGCTGGAATCTGAGACTTTCGCTGTCCCCATTTTCTTTACCTTTATATTAACACACGCACACAAGAAAGGTATGCCAAAGAAAAAAAAATCCCTATTTCCCAATGAAATATTTTCCTTGTTTCGTAGTATATTAGTATGTTAGAGCGAAAGGCTCAAAGGTGTATGAATCTGTTGAAAGCTGATATATTGTTTTTGTTTTCCTGAGGAAGTAGACTAGAGAAATGGAAAAGTTGGGGAATTTTTTTAAGTTGGCTACGATTGTTTGCAGCTTTACGGAATGTTGAAATTATAATTATAGATTTAATAATAGAGAAAATAACCTCAGTAACAAAAAATATCTTATAATATACGATTTTAACTAATTTTTTTTGGATTTGTCAAAATGACCAACTAAATCGTAATGCGATCGATAATTCGCAACGCGATCTCCGGTATCGCAAATCAGTTTCCAGATTCGCAACGCGATTCTGACTATCGCATTGCGATTTCCCAAATTCGCGTTGCGATTTTCCTAATTCGCAATGCGAATACGTAAATCGCAACGCGATTAAGTAAATCGCAATGCGAATTAGGAAAATCGCAATGTGAATACGTAAATCGCAATGCGAATCTGACTATCGCAATGCGGTTTACATAGCGCCATTCTTATTAACGCGTATTTTTTTTTCAAATTCCAAACACGAATTTTTTCTTAATATATCGGAAACTGAATCGTCCACAATAATCGCAACTCATAACCTCAAACCTAAAATCACAACACTCAGTCTCATCTCCATCTCTCACTCTCTCCGGCGAAATCCGTCCCCATCGCCGGCGAAATCCCTCACAACCATTCACGGTTAGAAATCCCTCACAATCATTCAGAAATGGAAAATCAACCTCCGAGTGTTAGTTTTTTTAATTATTTTTATTTTGAAATTTTTGCATTATTTTAGGTTTTTCATATTGAAATTGATGATAAGTTTACTGGTAATTTCAATAATAGATTAATAATTTCACTTAGATTTCTTATTAAATTCATTCGATTACTGCCAATACTGCTAAATTGTTTAGTATTTAACCCTGTGAAGTTAGTATTTGTCTTTGTTTTGTCTTTTGGTTGAAGTAATGCAGAAGAAGAATAGTTTCGAGAATGAAAATCGCAACGCGAAAATGACTATCGCAACGCGAAATGAAAATCGCAACGAGATAATCGCAACGCGAAACCAAAATCGCATTGCGATTTTCATTTCGCGTTGCGATTCTCTCGTTGCAATTTTCATTTCGCGTTGCGATTCTCTCGTTGCGATAGTCATTTCCGCGTTGCGATTTTCATTTTCTCGTTGCGATTTTCATTTCAACCAAAAGACAAAACAGTGTTACAAATTTTAGTTTCAAGAATAAACTACTATTTATGTTTATTGTTTTTGGTATATCTTCACAGTGTAGTTTTTGGTATATCTAACTTGGTATGTTTATTGTTTTTGTAGAAATTTTTTTCGGCTTCATTGACATTAAGGAATAAAGTTAGCATAGCCACTACAATTGCTTCGAAGCTTTCACCTGCACAAAGAAAATTGTTTGAGGAAACCTGCTTCGGGCCATGGCTGAGAGTACAGCATCCGGGTGGAGATGCTAATTTTACCCATTTGTTGCTTCAGACCATGACTAGCGATCTACCCGACAGTATACAACGTGGTGAGGAAGAGATATGATTTCATTTTCCACCGGCGTATACTTGTTTTGGGCGGAAGGAGTTCTGCTTAATCACTGGTCTACGATTCGGACACGATGATGTAGGCCGGTACACTCGTCATATCACCCGCCCATCATGGTTATCCAGGGTTTTTCCTGATGAGTCAATAGAGAAGCCGAACTTACACGTCGACGACCTGAAGAAATTGTTTAATAAGAAAGATGGTTTTACTCGGATGAATGACGTCGATGTTGTCCGAGTATGCCTTCTACTACTTTTGTATGCCGGCTTTTTAGGCAGAGAGGCCAGACAACCTATTCCTCAGGAGGTAATATTATTGGTAGAGGACCTAAATGCATGGAATTTGTTTTCGTGGGGTTCGTATATATGGAAAGCTACTTGGACTAAGTTGTCGTCTGCCTTTGATGACCGCAAAAGTTTGCGGGGCGATGGGTCGAAATACACTTTGTCAAGCTTTGTTTGGGCCTTTAAGGTAAGAATTTCTATATAATGTTTTCAAAATTATAATTAATTATTTAACAATTACTAATGTTTGTTATTATATTGTTTGTAGATTTGGATATTCGAGGCTTTCCCCAGCATGCGAACATATGCATTAAAAACCTCAAATGATATTCCTAGGGCTATTTCCTGGAAGAGGAAACGTCTGTTGGATTGGGAAGACTTAATACCATATGCGACAATAAATAATGTAAGTTAACACAAATACTATCATATATAAACAAGTTATTAATAGTAGACGTTTAACTTTGTTTGAGTTTTTATATTTTTAGGAGGCCAACACTCCATTAATGAGACTGACACCCACGGAGGCTGAGCTTGCCACTGATTGGTGGCAAGCTAGTCAGCATTTTCTTGATGGTACGAATGATGAGCAGCCTCCACTTCCTCCACTTCGAGAGCCATCACCTCACCCAGAGCCATCACCTGATCGACCCGACTATACACCTCTACAACGAGAGCCATCACCTATCCCATCACATCATCGAGCCTCTTCTCCACCATCACCTCATGATAGGCGACCGACAAAGATACCACGACTTCTATCTCCCTGTTCTCCACCTCCACGGGATGAGTCAAGGGAGTTACGTGATGAGATCAATGCCTTGCGTGAGGAGATCGGTACTCTACGCGATAACGATGGTGCATGGCGTGTGGAGGTGTCTACTTTACGTGGTGAGGTTGCCGCTCTACGTGAGATGGTAGTATCGTTGCAGAATGAGGTTCATACTCTACGCAACGAGTTCCATATTTAACTTGATGATAAATTTACTCGTAATTAACCATTTCACTTAGATTACTTAGTAAATTTATTCGGTTGCTGCCAATACTGCTAAGCTGTTTATTAACACTGTGAAGTTAGTATTTGTCTTTTGGTTGAAGTAAATTTATTCGGTTGCTGCCAATTCTGCTAAACTGTGTATTCTTTAACACTATGAAGTTAGTATTTGTCTTTGTTTTGTCTTTTGGTTGAAAGTAAATTTGTTCGGTTGCTGCCAATTCTGCTAAACTGTGTATTCTTTAACACTGTGAAGTTAGTATTTGTCTTTGTTTTGTCTTTTGGTTGAAAGTAAATTTGTTCATTTGCTGCTAAACTGTGTATTCTTTAATACTCTGAAGTTAGTATTTGTCTTTGTTTTGTCTTTTGGTTGAAGTAATGCAATCCATTCAAGTTTCAATTTGCAGAAGAAGAAGAAATAGTTTATTCTTGAAACTAATTTAGTAACACTGTTTTGTCTTTTGGTTGAAATGAAAATCGCAACGAGAGAATGAAAATCGCAACGCGAGATGAAAATCGCAACGACAAAATCGCAACGCGAAACTATAATCGCGTTGCGATTTTTGGTTTCGCGTTGCGATTCTCGTTGCGATTTTCATTTTGCGTTGCGATAGTCATTTTTCACGTTGCGATTTTAAGTTCCATTCTTCTTCTGCAAATTGAAACTTGAATGAATTGCATTACTTCAACCAATTGACAAAGACAAATACTAAGTTGACAGTGTTGCAAGTTTGAAACATATTTGCCTTTGTTATCTGATGCATTTTGTGAACTATGATAGAATAATGACTTGGGTGAATTCAATGCAAGTTTGAAACATATTTGTCTTTGTTTTCACTGTTTAAATATCATGTCTGTTTATTTACTGATATTTGTATTTAATTATTTAGCGGCCCGATAAGGTGGATGCTTTACGTCAGATTTTTCTTGCACTACAGAGTTCACGCATCAGATGGCGTGCACGTGCTATTAAGTCTCCGTACACCCCAATAGTGCGAAGACACCGTAAGAAGAAGCCCGACTCGCCTATCATCCCTCAAGAGTCCACTCCTATCGTTGAAGAGGCCCCTATCATTCCTCGAGAGTCCCCTCCCACCGTTCAAGAGGCCATTGTCATCGTTGAAGAGGTCCCTCCCACCATTCAAGAGCCCGATTCATATGGCGTCATATATGTAGGATTCTTGAGAAACCCTCTGACGTGCCGGACATGATGGATTCAAGTTGGCTCTCGTATGAGTTACCGGCCAGTACCATACCGGTATCTGAAGTGGAGAGGAGACAACTACCGGACACAATTCTGGATAACACCCTTTGGCCTAAGACCGCAGTTGATTTTTATCTACATGAGCAGAGCCAGGGGTGTTTCACTGACATATGCAAGCTCAACGATGATATCTATTTGTTGCTTGATCGGTCTTGGTGGGGCGTATTATTAGGGGTCGAAGACAATGGCTATTTCGATGGAGGGGTAAGTCTTATATTTTTCTTATATTTCAATTTGATTATTTTTTTTAAAATTTATGTAAGTTACTAATATATGTCTTTTTTTGTAAAACATCATATCGATGTGTGGGTGTCACGTCTTCTAATAATTAAGAAACTTAAGGAAAATAAAAGAAATACACGATATACAATTATGCCGACGTCTTTTAACGTCGTTCACTTGAAGAATCAACGAGATGAATCATTTGCGTTGGGCAATGGACAAGCTAAACTTTATCATGCATGGTGGAAGGTCGATAAGGTTAGTATTTATTTTATATTGAGTTTAAAGGTATTCATAAATAAGTGCGCAAATGAATGAATTATTACTTATGATTGCAGGTGTTTATCCCTGTTTTGGAACGTAAACATTGGCTTCTCGTCAAGCTTCAGCTCACATGCCTTAAGGCAATAGTATATGACAGCATGATAAATTACATATCATTGGCTGATTTAAGAGATATTATTAAGGGATGGAGCTCTCATTTGGCTAAATTCTTGGATGCGATAAATTATTGGACTCGTTCTGGAAACAAGAAGCCAAAGAAGCTCAATATTACAGTTAGCATAGACGAGACCACACCACAACAAACGAAAGGAACTAGAGGGGATTGTGGTCCTCTCGTATGCTTGGCGTTGGAGCGTTTGATCACTGGAAGTATAAAGTATCTACCTCCCACCGATAGAGATAGAGCTGCAG